GGCTCTGCTCTGTGTGACGGGGTAGAGCCATAACCTCCCCAACAGCCCTGCCCTGAGCGTGACAGGGGACGGTGCCCTAACTCCCCTATCGGCCCTAGTCTGTGAATGACAGGGCGGAGTTCCCCAACCCCCTGCTGGGCCCTGCTGTGTGACAGAGGGGAGCTCCCCAACCCCCTGATGGGTCCTGCTCTGTGCATGACAGGGTATGGAGCCCCAACCCCCTGATTGGCCCTGCTCTGTGCATGACAGGGGGCGGTGCCCCAACTCCCCAATCGGCCCTGCTCTGAGCCTGACCAGGGGCTGCACCTGGGGATTGGGCCTGCCCTCTGTCACCAGGGAGCAGGTCTAAGCTAGCAGGTCGTTATTTCCCGAGGGGTCCCAGACTGCAAGGGGGTACAGGCTGGGCTGAGAGACCTCCGCTCCTTGCCCGAGTGCACAAATTTTTGTGTACCGGGCCTCTAGTGAGTGTGTGTGTGTGTGTATATGTATATATAAAAGATACAAACACTACAGTCAGAGGGACCTGGTTACACCCTTTCCAGAGGCGGAAACGACACCCTGGCAGGTTTCAGGGCCCCGTCGGAGGTGACAGGCAGCAGCAGCTGGAGGACAGAGCCTCTCCTCTGACCACGGAAGTTCTCATGCTCCCCATAGACGTGCAGTCTGATAGCGATTTTTAGTGTTCCGTGAAATCCCTTAGAAATAGGAATGTGCTCAGGTGGGGCACTGCCACCGGGAAAGCTGGCCATGCCCAGTGCCAATCTGGCCACTCACCGTGGCGCGCTTCACCTGGCGGGGGGGACTAGGCTGTGGGGACAGTTTCTTGGGCTGCTGGACTTGCTGTGGCGGTGGTGGCGGCTGGGTTGATGGCTGCGGGTCCTTCTGTGGGGGCTGCGGTGGTTCAGGGCCTGGAGCCGACTGTGACGGTGGCACTGGTGGCACTTGTGGTGTGGGGTTGAGCGATGGGGGCTGATGCAGCTGATGAGGCGTGTGATGAGGCATCTGTTGTTTTCCTTGTGAGTAAAGATCCAGGATTTGGTGGCAGATATCTAAATGATAGGTGACAATTACATTTACCACAGATGGATATTTGAAATAAAATTTTACCTAGAAAAAAAGCCAGCCCATTTCCCTTTGAGCCACAATTCTCATACAAGGACCAACATGTCAAAATCCTATTTGGAATTCACCCTGCCTCTGCTGTGCACAGCACTGCTGGGTATTTTCAGGTCACCAAAACGATTTGCGGGGAAAGATTGGATATTACATTTGAAATGTTAATCACAGATATGCTTCTAAAGAAAAGTTTATGCAGGCTGATTGGGAAATCTGTTCAGGAATCACGTTCTCAGGGCAGCACCATCCCAACATGGAACACCCTCACAGAATGATTGGCATGCCCAGTACCTTCCAGAACATCCACAGGGACATCTTGCACAAACTGCTCCCACCATCTCCGATACATGGGTTTGGAGGTCCATTCTTGTATTTCAAATTTGCACAAACGTCCCGCGAGATACATCACTGCCACGGCTATGATCTCCGGTTCCCACTGCAGTGACAAGGTCGTGCAGAGACTAGTTCAACAGGAAAAAGAGGTGACTTCACTGGGATGAACAAACATTTGTGATTAACTCAATGCATGAAAGTCAGATGCTGCATCTAAATGGCAATTTGCTTATCCTTCTCTAAACTCCATCAAATTAAGTGTATACATAGAGTCCTCTAAAAGTATAAAAATAAGTTATTTTAACCACAGTTACTTAAAAAATGTGTTTCTTAAAGAATCAGAATCCCAGCCCATTAAAAAATTGCCATGCCATGAAATACAAGTGAAAATGATTTATGTTCTTCAAACTGGTGAAATCCCAGCTAGAGAAATGTTTCTCCCACCAGTGACAACTCCACTCACAGGCACTTTGCTCCCCAATAGATCCCTGGGCTCTAGAACATCAAGGACCTAAAACAATGACACCATATGGTGTTTGTGTTTTTGCAGAATCAAATGGGTTCTCAGTACTTAGTTGTCCAAACTCTCCGGGGTATTGTTTTAGATTTATGTTTTAAACTGGAGATAAGATTTCAGGATCCTGCATCACCATGACATGGCAGGGTATTGCCTCTGATGGGAAAAGGAGACCTGGACTTTGGCCCCAGCTCTGCCCTTCACTGGCTCCTCAAGCTGGGTCAAGTCAGTTTCCTTGATATAAAGTAGGGGTTTGGGTAAAGTGACATATGAAGTCCCTGGGTATTTAAAAACACTATCATTAAAAACTATACTTTCAGGAATCATTTCTATAGTTTGTTAAAAAATTGCAATTAAATCAACATTTGAGTATATGTACCTGTCATTTACAAATGTCCATGCCATTTGAACCAACTTTTGAATTTTGTTTTTATCACCTAGAAATGGGGGGTGGGGGGAAAGGTAAATTAGTAAGAAAAGAAAATAAAGCAGCAGAACAAGAAGCAAAAAGTACTCATATAAAGCTCAGGTACCCTCAGCATCATTCCAATACACAGCGAAGAGCTTCCGCATGGGAGACAGGGACAAATGAGTGGGTCCAAGCCCCACCTCTGTTCTCTCCACACGCCCTATGCTGAGAGCCACCGCTTATGGGAAGCCTGGCTCCATGGCTGAAGTTATTAGGTTATTTAAAAAGTCCTGACTCATTTTCCTGTCTCATACCACTTGGCAACTGGATGACAGAATCTGCTTATACACAAAAGGAAACAGTACTAACAGCCACAATATTGAACTGTCTAGGCAAGCTATAGCCTAGGTACTTCACACACCGAATTTTCTGCTTTCCTCTTTTAAGCATAATCGCAGTGTCATCAAATGATGATGAAGACTTGGTTTCAGAATAAAAAAGTTCTTTTAATAACTTTTTCTTACCTTTGAGTTGTTTTGCATATTTGAGTAGGAACTGGTATGGATGTTCTACCTGTAAATCAAACTTTATAGTCTGTAGTAAGATTCTCTCCAGAACCATTACTTCTTCCTAAAAATAAAATAATAAGTGTTGGGGCTGTAGTTTTAGTCACAGGTCTAAATCAGTATTTAAAAAGTGAACTTTTCTATTTATTATTTTTTAAATATATTTTTATTGATTTCAGAGGGAGAGGGAGAAAATGATAGAAACATCAGTGATGAGAATCATTGATTAGCAGCCTCCTGCACATCCCCCACTGAGGATTGAGCCTGCAACCTGGGCATGTGTCCTGACCAGGAATCGAACCGTGACATCCTGATTCATAGGTCGATTCTCAACCACTGAGCCATGCCAGCGGGGCTGAAAGTGGTGTTTTTAGAACATAACTAAGTCATGTATGTAATTATTTTAACACCATTTCCTGACATGAGCAGGGGTTGTGGGGAAAAGACAGGATGGGTGGTATAACCAATAGCAATCTCTAGGTGTCTGAGAATAGCTGCAAGTGTCAATTCCTCCCACCATTCTTGGGAAGCAAAGGACACACAGCACATGCAATGCAGATAGATATACGCAGAGCACTGGCACTATCCATCTACCCAGAAGCTGCCAGCGCCCCTGAACCAAAGAAGCCACAATGCTTCTGGTCTAGGAGCACAGCCAGCCAGGAGGGGACTTTGTTCCTATCCACGACATGTGCTATCGCCCCTAAAGTGCTCAGAACATGACTTGGCACGTTAGCAAGAGCTACCCAAGTGTGGCTACATCCTCTTCCCTCCTTACAGAAGCAAGGGAAAGTACCTCTGCACAGGGACCTGGGACTGGAAGATACAGCCATTGCCAACACAAGGACCTCTATCTTTTTAATTTTGTTCATCCTCACCCAAGGATATTTTTTCCCATTGATTTTTAGAGTGGAAAGGAGGCGAAGAGATAGACACACATTGATTGGTTGCCTCCACACAAGAGCTGGGGATCAAATCTGTAACCTAGGTACATGCCCTTGACCAGAATTGAACACTGACCCTTGAGTCCAAGGGCCAATGCTCTAACCACTGAGCAACTGACTAGGGCAAGGACCTCTATCCTTCCAAAAAAAATAAAAAAATATCCTATCTAATAAAAGAGAAACATGGTAATTAGCGTACGACCGCTACCCTTCCCATTGGCTAATCAGGGCGATATGTAAATTAACTGCCAGACAAGATGGTAGCTGGCAGCCAGGCAGCTGGAAGCGAACATGAGGCTTGCTTGCTTCAGTGACGGAGGACTCCAACGTTCCCCACCTGCCTTGCCGGCCTCTGAGCCGGCAGTTTGAAACATAGTTACAAATATAGAAGCTAAAAAAAAACACCCAGAAACCTGCTTTCAGTGAGCCGGGATCTCAGAGCTGGAGTTATACAGAGTTTCGATTATAG